GTACAGAACTATTGTACCTGGTAGTAAACAATGGTACAGAACTATTGTACCTGGTAGTTAACAATGGTATAGAACTATTGAACCTGGTAGTTAACAATGGTACAGAAATATTGTACCTGTTAGTTAACAACGGTACAGAAATATTGTACCCGGTAGTTAACAATGGTATAGACCTATTGTACCTGGTAGTAAACAATGGTACAGAACTATTGTACCTGGTGGTTAACAATGGTACGGAACTATTGTACCTGGTAGTAAACAATGGTACAGAACTATTGTATCTGGTAGTAAACAATGGTACAGAACTATTGTACCTGGTGGTTAACAATGGTACGGAACTATTGTACCTGGTAGTAAACAATGGTACAGAACTATTGTATCTGGTAGTAAACAATGGTACAGAACTATTGTATCTGGTAGTAAACAATGGTACAGAACTATTGTATCTGGTAGTAAACAATGGTACAGAACTATTGTACCTGGTAGTTAACAATGGAATAGTGTACCTGGTAGGACTTTGCTACGTAATGACTGACAAGAGGATGCGATCTCATTTGGGATATAGCTTTCTCCAACCAGCGGGTAGCTATCTCTGCTCGTAATCTAATTAGCACGCGTGGAGTTGTTTTATAATACTTAGTTTTAAATTGCTATATGTAGTTCACTGTATGGTAAGGAAACAGTGGAGGGTTATGAGGCCACGGATCCGCCGGGAGTCAGCGTATATCTAGTCTACGTTTAACAGTACGTGGCATATATCACCATAATTGTCTATCCTGTTAGTCTTACACACATAACGAGTACATAGAAACGGGGAACTGACGTTTACTTATTTAACTGAGAAAGTGACGCTTGTAACAGAATCAAATCTTCAAATATTATCGAAATTCTCCATAGGCCTCCTTAAACCAACGGGAAACCAGGCAATGGCAATAGGAACACTGGAACATAAAACTGCATCAACACCACGACAACGCGACAACTCAAAACTAATTAAACACAGCAACCTTAAAATAAATCAACACAGCAACCTCACCAACATTTACCACACTACCCTAGACTAACTTACCACATAAATAACTCCAAAAACATTCAATACACACATGACCGATTTTTTTGGTAAATCATACTCTTATTAATTCGTACTCATTCACGTATGGTTTTCTAACAATGATTAAGCATGTCTATTGATTATTGTAGCCGTTATTATATCGACATTTTGTTAGTAATTTCATAAGATTGACAACAAAACCACAAGACATTCTAATCAGTATAATCAAAAACATCGACTTTCAAACCACCAGACATTCTAATCAGCATAATCAAAAACATCAACTTTCAAACCACAACACATTCTAATCAGTATAATCAAAAACATCGACTAGTATAATCAAAAACATCGACTTTCAAACCACAAGACATTTTAATCAGCATAATCAAAAACATCGACTTTCAAACCACAAGACATTCTAATCAGTATAGTAAAAAACATCGACTTTCAAACCACAACACATTCTAATCAGTATAATCAGTATAATCAGTATAATAAAAAAAACTTCGGCTTTCAAACATCGACTAATCAGCATAATCAAAAACATCGGCTTTCAAACCACAACACATTCTAATCAGTAGAATCAGTAGAATCAGTATAATAAAAAACATCGGCTTTCAAACATCGACTAATCAGCATAATCAAAAACATCGGCTTTCAAACCACAAGACATTCTAATCAGCATAATCAAAAACATCGACTTTTAAACCACAACACATTCTAATCAGTATAATCAAAAACATCGACTTTCAAACCACATAAAGATAAAGCATATTTCCTGCAGATTTGGAAATCCTGTTTTGTAAGTTTATCCGTCAGTAGTCGACTCGTATCACGGAAAACTCTAAGAGTCAACTGCGATATGTAGGCGATGGAAGGATGATACTATCAGGAAAGGAAAAGTTCAAGATCGGAAAGTCGAAATTGTCCCGTTTATCGTACGGCGTAGTCGTAAGCAATCCCTGTTGGTCATGTTATCATGAGGGATTGTGGGAAGCGGTCAATGTAGAAGTGTCTTTAGTGTCCCTGATTTCAAACTCTGAGGGTACGATAGATGTGGTCAACGAAACTCTTGTTATTAAAGACACCACATCGTCGATATATCTGAATGTGAGGACTTGGCTACGTTTTTGTTACCAGTCATGATAAGCTCGTCAGTAAATTCAGCTTCACATGTAAACAGAAACCAATCGGCCAGAAGACGAGCGCAGCTTATTCCCATAGGTATGCCAAGTCTGGTGGAAAATCTAGTAACCGAACTCAACAAAAATATTGTCAACCAGAAACTCAATACATCTAAAATGTTCATAATCAGTTTATTTTATTTGGGCTTTTGTAGTACTTTTTTCATAATATGTTCCAAAATAATTTACAACCTTAAATTTATATCGCCGTTAGCCTTTATTTGAAGAGAAAGCTCTCATAGATAGAGAACGAATGCGTTCCTTCAGATTGGTATAGGGTATGGTAGCGTAAATAGTCGAAAAGTCAAATGTTTTGATAGAAGAATCATTTTTGAGAAGAGGATGTCAAGATTGATCAAAAGATCTTTTAAATTCTTAAAAATCCACATACCATTTAAAAGTAACTTGTTTACAATAAAATTCTTGTTCATAGTACAACAGTACACTTATTTTAATTTCCTTAGTAACAATAAAATTATAGCTTTTAAGCTCTTCACAACCAGTTGCTTCCATTCTTAGCGAAGAGCTGTCTAAACCAAAATATAGGTCCAGTTTAGTGTAAAAAAAATCCAGGATCACATTTATAGTAATTTAGGAAATTTAACAAGCATGTATAAATATACTACAAGGAAATATTTGTATCTATAAAATAATAGTAAGTGTTAAAGGAACTCTCAGATACACAGACGTTGACAAGAAAACAATGTAACCAAGGATAACTAATTAGTATAGCAGCAAATTATGTGATTAAAATATGTTAACAATTGATCTGAAAATATCATCTTCACCTGAAGGACCTAATGAAATTATGTAAAAATCATATCATCAAATTTTCCAGACTACTGTTTAAATGAAATGTTTTGTAACGGATGCGTGCCTACAGTTCGTTACCAAGTTCTTTCTTGGACCCAGTAATTGTTGTAACAAACAAGTGCCGACAATATATACAAAATAACGGCCGTCTTTCTGACTCAAATAACTATTACCTAATCTACACCCGGTAGATATTTTACATTAATATACCTCTAACACTAATATAGTCAAAAAGCCAACTAAAACAACTGTATCACAATATATCCGTCACCCTGTATCAACAGTAAATAGCCCCTTACTGCGACACCCGTGACTGTGTACACCCTTTACCGCGACACACCTTGACCACGTCACCCTTTACCGCGACTGCCGTTTGACCAAGTCACCCTATAGCTAGCCACTATAAAACCTATGCCTTGGTAAACCCTGTGTCTTGGTACCTGACACCCTGTATCAACAGTACGTCGCCCTGTACTGTGATACCCTGTGACTATGCACACTATACTGTAACACAATTTATTTTGACCATGTACTATAAAGGAATACAGTGGAACCCTAGCTTATGCAGCTAGGCCCAAACTTATACAGCTTGGTCACTGATTACCTTTTTAGAGTTGTTCCTTCTTCTTCGACCGCCAGAGCAAGAGAAGCTTTTCATCTGATGGAACCTCTATTTATATACCTAGCCATCCAATGAAATGCCTTCTTTCATTAGCCAATCAAAACTACTCTTACTTCCTAATTACAAAGAAATAACTAAAGCAAGTCTATACTAACGATCATTTATTGAACAATGTAATTAACAAAGAATCAACCGCTTCATTACCCACGCCTCTGATTCAATGCGTCCCGCATTCACAGTAAGTAAAAGAGCAAATGTATATTTTTGTTTTGTTTTGTAAATGTCTTTGAATCACTCAGTCGAACCATTCTTCTTCCTCAACCTTGACAACAGACTTCCCATTCTCCGTGTACGATGTCGTTGTCTTTATGGTTCTCCTGTGGTTTGAAAAGTTCACCTGGACAGCTGCATCCACAAATGTCTTTACATTGCCTAACTGTGTCCCTGTATCTCTGGTCTGTAGTCCTGGTTCACGTACACTACCTGTGACGGATTTCACAGCAATACTCGAAACACGTGCAGAATCTTGTGGAATGTTAGGTCTCTTTGGTGTATATACAGGGTTCGGACGACAGGGTTTTCTCACAGTAATCATTTCTTCCATCTTAGATGTCTTAGATGCAGGTTCTGGATCGTCCTCAGATATTTCCCCTAGGATATCTAACACATTCCCTGGATCATGTTCATCCAACGAGTCTTCTCGTACTGGGTGCTTCCTCTCCTTGTGTCTCTTCAGACAAACATTCTTCTCCGTGACAAAGTTACACTCATTACACTCAAACTTCTTCTTTTCTCTTGCATTGGTTCCGCAGATCACCAAGTGCGCTTTCCACTCTTCATCTGATGGAAGTCTCTCGCAACACAGCGGACACACCAAACCTGGCTTTCTCGGAGTTGTTTTCACTTGTGGCATCTTCCTATAACACACAAAGATTCACATCTATCATTTTTTTTTTTTTTTTTTTACAGTACATATTCAGTCATCCAGACTGGTCTTCTTCTGACACGGCCTTTTGTGCTATCTGGAAGATCTACAATCTCGTTCACCTCGAACTCTGATCCATTTTGTATTTGGTCAACCTCGACATCTGTACGAGTCTCACTTTCACCTTTGAGAACCTGGGATTGGCATCTGCGCATCCTGTCAACATGAATAACATGTTCTTTCTTGTTTTCATCACTAACAACCTTGTAAATGACATTTGATACTTTTTCAACTACCTTGAAAGGACCTTGCCAAAAACTCATCAGCTTTGATGACCTGCCAACCTTCTTTTGAGGGAAAAACACATAGACCAACTCCCCCGTCTCGTAACTATCCCATTTTAGTTTCAGGTCATGGTAATGTTTCTGTCTCAACATCGCCCCTTCCAAGTTTTCTCTGGCTAACCTATGAGCCGAAACCAACCTCTCTCTAAGTTCCCAAGCCCATTGACTTTGCAAAACTGGTTTAGACTCGTTAGGGAGATCATAGAACAGATCAACTGGGGTAGAAACCTCTCTCCCTAACATAAGCATGTTTGGAGTAAACCCTGTACTTTCCTGTTCTGTTGACCGGTACGCCATCATAACGTAAGGTATGTGAACATCCCAGTCATCCTGACACTCATCAACATAGGCACAAAGCATGCTTGCAAGAGTCCGATTGAATCTTTCTACCATACCGTCCGATTTCGGGTGATATGGCGTAGTTCTCGTTTTCTTGGTGCCAAGCAAAAGACACATCTCTTGAAACAGTTTGCTTTCATATTGTCGCCCCTGATCCGAGTGTATGGCGTTTGGTACACCAAAACGAACAACAACCTCCTCCACGATGAGTGCAGCAACTGTACTGGCCTCCATATTTCGCATGGCAAAAGCTTCTGTCCACTTGGAAAAGTAATCACTTACTACCAAAATATATCTGTTTCCGTCCTTTGTTTCCGGTAATGGTCCGAGTATGTCAGACGCCAATCTTTCCATGGGATATCCTGTAGGCTCTATTTGCATAGGTGCTCGTCGTTTTGCACATTCTTTCCTACATACACAATGTTTGCACCCAGCAATATACTGTCGAACATCTCTTTGCAAGCCAGGCCAGTAGAACTTCTGTCTCACACGACTCAGTGTTTTGTGCACTCCTAGATGCCCACTAGTTCTTGTGTCATGACACATGTTCAGCATGGTTCGTCTTTCCTCATATGGTACAACTATTTGACTCTTTTTGTGTTTTGAAGGGTTTACCCAACGTCTGCACAGTAAACCGTTGTCAATAGTCAATTGATCCCATTGTGCAACAAGGGATTTTACCACATTGCTCAGAGGCTTTACCGAACCTGGATTTGGCTTTTTCCCGCTCTTTACCCATTCAGTTACTAATTTCAGATCGCTATCGGCCTCCTGCTTTTCTTTCAATGTACTTGTATCTTCATCTTGTTTGTCAATATTCACTTTTGGGTTACCATCCTTCTTGATCGTTCGTACAGGAAGTGGTCCCTCCCCTTGGTCACGTTCCCAATCTTCATAGAATCCACACTGGTGACAGGGAATCCTACTCATTGCGTCTGCGTTTCGGTGCAACTTCCCTGCTCTGTGCTGGATTTCTATATCATATGTTGAAATGACCTCGAGCCAACGAGCTAACTGTCCTTCTGGTTCTTTGAATCTCATTAGCCACTTGAGTGCACTATGGTCAGTTCTCACTATGCACTTATGTTTGTAGAGATATGGTCGATACTGCTTGATACAATATACCATTGCTAGTAACTCCTTCCGGGTTACGCAGTATTTCCTTTCTGACTTGGTAAGTGCTCTACTACTGTAAGATATCACGTTCTCCTTGCCATCAATACACTGGGACAAGACTCCACCAATAGCAAATTGACTCGCATCTGTGTCCAAGATGAATGGTTTGGTAAAATCAGGGTAGGCTAAGATTGGTGCTGTGATCAAACATTTCTTAAGCGTATCGAATGCAATTTGGCATCTGTCTGTCCAAGTGAAAGATGTTCCCTTCTCTGTCAGCTGGTGAAGTGGTTTTGCGATCTCGGCAAACCTGTGAATGAAACGTCTATAGTAGCTACAAAGTCCAATAAATGACCTCATATCTGTCTGCGTCACAGGCAGTGGCCATTCTTTCACTGCTTTCACCTTTTCTGGGTCTGTTGATATGCCATCTCCTGAAACAATGTAACCCAGGAATAACACTTGTTTTCTAAATAGATGACATTTCTTGGCCTTGAGTTTTAGTCCTGCCTGACGTAGTCTGTCGAACACTTTTTCCAAGTTGACTATTGCTTCATGAAACGTTTTCCCTAAAACAATGATGTCATCAATGTACACCAGGCATATTTCCCAATGAAGCTTAGCCAGCACTGTCTCCATCAGGCGTTCAAATGTCGCTGGACTGTTGCAAAGTCCAAACGGCATCACGTTGAAATGGTAAAACCCACTTCTGGTTACAAATGCAGTCTTTTGCTTATCTGCTTCGTCCATTTCAACCTGCCAGTATCCCGAAAATAAGTCCAGTGTTGAGAACCACTTTGCTCCCGACAATCTGTCCAGTGATTCATCTACCCGGGGCAATGGGTATGCGTCCTTTATCGTTACCTTGTTCAGGGCACGATAGTCCACACAGAACCTTAAACTGCCGTCTTTCTTCTGTACCAAGACTACGCCCGATGCCCACGGACTAGACGATGGTTCTATAATTCCTCTGTCTAACATACTTTGGACCTGCTGATTAACTTCCTCTGCTGCATGGTGTGGAAATCGCCTTGGGGGTTGTTTAATAGGCCTTGTATTCTGAGTATCTATTGTATGCTTCACCATACTCGTTCTTCCCAAATCATCGTCTGATTTGGCAAACAAATCCTGTGACCTCAATAAGAGTTGCTTGACCTGCTCTGCCTGCTCTGGAGCCAAGTCCTTTCTAACTTCATTGTAGAGTTGCACAAGATGTTCTGGTAAATCTTGATATTTAAAACAGCATGTATCATCAACCACGTCCTGGTCAAGTACTCTCTCAGCTGGACTGATTTGTCCAATGTGTGTAGCACGATACACTTTCACAGCATGATCCGATGGATTGAGTAAGCGTACAGGAACAGTCTTCTGTGCCTTGACAACGGCCCGAGCTACCAGAGCCTTTCCTGTCTTCGTAAACTTCTCACAAGACTCCATGATACAGGCTTCACCACGAAGTTGTTCATTGTCAGGAACTTGCACTATTCCCTCACAAATTATCTCTGATCTTGGCGCTATACTGAGCGTCTCCTTCATACTGACTCGGTAGCATCCCAAATTACCTTGCCATGATAATGAACTGTCATTCCGACCAATTCTCATCTTTCCTTGCGCACAATCAATAATGCTTTTGCTTTCTTTCAGGAAGTCTAAGCCTATGATTCCATCTAGCTGCATGTCAACCACAACCGCTGTACACTCACAACTGTAATAGTCTATAGTTATGCGAAAACTTCCTTTCCCTACTACTGCCAAGGGTAGGTCATTGGCTCCAAGTATATCCCGCGTCATTGGTTGAAGATCTAGCCGGTTCCGGTCATTGATAGCTTTGTATGTTTGCTTTGATACTAATGACACAGTAGCACCTGTGTCTATCAGGAATTTTGCCTGAACTCCATTGATATCCAAGTGTACAAAAAGTCCTGCCTCTGCACCTTTACATCCTTGTACACATTTCAAGTGACTGGCGTTTGATGTTTTATCTGTCGTGTCCTTTGCTATCATTGCCAAATACTTGGGACATTTCCTTTTCATGTGACCCTCTTCCTTACAGAAGTAACACTGTATACTGTAGCGTCCTTTCTGTGCATCATATGGTTGCTTGTTTTGGTCCTTTTTACTATTTCCCTGTGTATCTCTCTTCGTTGCTTTTAAATCATGCATTTCTTCTTCAAGTTTCTTAATAGACTTTTGTAGGGACCCAAGCATGGTTGTCAGATTCTCCATAGCCTTATTCCCTTGACTGGTATCGTGATAAACGTTCTCACCAGAGGCAGACCTAACATACTTCTTTTCGTCCCTTCTGTCCCTTTCCACCTTACAGAACGACTCTATCTCAACTGCTAATCCAACAGCCTCGTTCAAAGTCTTTGGTCTTGACTGCTTAATTCTCAGTCTCATATCGAAATCTGGTAAAGCGTCAATGAAGTGATCCTTAGCCATCATCTCTGCAACATCTCTCGTTACTGTAGGGTACGCCAGATATGTCAATCGTTTGATTCCTTCGCCTAATTCAGGAATTGTCTCTGATGGGCCTAATCTCTTTTCCTTTAGCATTGAGCGATACAACTCCGTTTGGTTTGTCGGAGCAAACCGCGCCTCCAGTGCTGCTGTCAATAGTGTATATTGACCTGGCTCGTCCTTTGACATATTCCCTAGCACTGTCTGTGCATGTCCCCTCAATGATGCAGCAAGATATAACCCTTTTTGTGACTCGGTCCAACGATTGATTTTACTGCATGCCTCAAAATGTGCCTGATAATCCAGCCAGGACCCTGTCCCATCATATGTTGCCGGTTTCATATAATTAGACATTGGCTTCTGCATCGTAGCTAAAGCTTCATCATACATCCCCTGATCCTGGTAATTTGATTTCTTTTGCCGCACAGTAACACGTTCATCGTTGAAATCATGTCCTTCTATCATGGGAATATCATGTGTCACCCTCCTCGGACTATAGCAAGTCTCTCCGTAGTTCTGATCCCTCTCATGTACAATATCCCTGTTTCTTTCACTGCGTCTCTGAGACATACGTCCAATTTCATCAGGAGTACGGGTGTGCATGGGAGTATCATCAAACCTTACTGATGGACGCCGGTCTGTAACATCTCCCCTAGTATCTTTATGACCAACAATATCACTAGAACGCCGTGTAGTTCCTAAACCAGAGTCCCTAGGTCTATCACCTTCTACCTGTTTAACGATACTGGACAAAGGGGTTGATTGTGATTTGAGCCTAATACTATTTTCCCTTAACGTTGCTATTTTCTCCTCCAAATCACTTATCTCGCTGTCCAAGTCATTCATTGTGAACAACTGATCCTATTATTTCAAAGAATGTAAAATTAAACTACCAACACACTATAATGCCTTTATAGATAAATATATAAAACTATCACAACAGTGACTGGATCCCACTACGCTGCCACCAAAATATATGTAACGGATGCGTGCCTACAGTTCGTTACCAAGTTCTTTCTTGGACCCAGTAATTGTTGTAACAAACAAGTGCCGACAATATATACAAAATAACGGCCGTCTTTCTGACTCAAATAACTATTACCTAATCTACACCCGGTAGATATTTTACATTAATATACCTCTAACACTAATATAGTCAAAAAGCCAACTAAAACAACTGTATCACAATATATCCGTCACCCTGTATCAACAGTAAATAGCCCCTTACTGCGACACCCGTGACTGTGTACACCCTTTACCGCGACACACCTTGACCACGTCACCCTTTACCGCGACTGCCGTTTGACCAAGTCACCCTATAGCTAGCCACTATAAAACCTATGCCTTGGTAAACCCTGTGTCTTGGTACCTGACACCCTGTATCAACAGTACGTCGCCCTGTACTGTGATACCCTGTGACTATGCACACTATACTGTAACACAATTTATTTTGACCATGTACTATAAAGGAATACAGTGGAACCCTAGCTTATGCAGCTAGGCCCAAACTTATACAGCTTGGTCACTGATTACCTTTTTAGAGTTGTTCCTTCTTCTTCGACCGCCAGAGCAAGAGAAGCTTTTCATCTGATGGAACCTCTATTTATATACCTAGCCATCCAATGAAATGCCTTCTTTCATTAGCCAATCAAAACTACTCTTACTTCCTAATTACAAAGAAATAACTAAAGCAAGTCTATACTAACGATCATTTATTGAACAATGTAATTAACAAAGAATCAACCGCTTCAGTTTTATTACAAGAATGATCATGACAACCGCGCGAACAAGGTAAAGCTTTGATATCAACCTGTAGTTAGAAGGGATTCAAAATTTAAAGGAGGAATACAATGTCGGAAGATGTTATTGAAAGTTTCAACAAACATCCCCTCAGAACTAGACCAGATGATAATCCACGTGTCAAGACTAACCTTTCTCTCATGCGAATACAGATGATTAATAGCTTACAAAACTACCATTTCACTGGACGCTGACAAAGACGGTGCTAATGTAGTTACCAACAGGGGTGTTTATTTTAAACACATTTTGAACATGTTTTCTGATGAGAAATGTTACGGAATTACTGGAAACAAAGCTGATATTACATCGTGTACAATAATTAATCTAGTTAAGATACAAGATTGGCATGTATTTATTTAAAAAAAACAGCACTTAGAATTAGTGGCGTACAAGAAATGGAGTAAGGGAGCGTGTTAGAGTATAGAAAAGCCTTCAGATCTGGAATTTAGAACACTTTCAGGGGTCTTAAGAAGTAGTACACAAAAACTAAGTCCTGTTATGGACATTTTGTCAAAACCACTTTAAACGTATGTCAACCATTACATCGGAGATGGTTTATATTCTCAACTTGTTCGTGTTAACTTTGTTCTCACTTGTCTCATTTAACGTTGTTATCGATATACAAATACATCTCTTCACCATCAACTAAAAGCAATTAAATTAGTCTAAATAATTGCCCCAATATTGCCGTTTTCTTCAGGCTGTGAATACTTTTTAAGCAGGAATATACTCTTCATCAGACACAGATCTAGAGTACAGCAGACTGAAAGTAAATCAAACATAGGAAACCCTAGTAGTGGGTACATGTGCCTTTAACTATGTCTTTGTAAGGAAGTATGGCCTGTAATACAGAGTGAAAAGCACGTTTACTACAAATGTCATCATAAGCCAAGAAGATTCATATACAGATAAATGTACTGACCTTCATGTTCTGGATCTTATTCGTCATACTAAGAAGCAAATGTATATTCGCTTCCTCTTTTTGTTGGGCCTTTTCACATTAAAAGAATTAGTCATGCAATTAACACTTACAATTTTTCTTATATTTTTTTAAACGAAGTATATGTCGTATGAATTAAGGATGTCCTCTTCTGAGGTTTCAGTCACGTTCAAGTCTCGTTTTGATCTGGTGTAACGGGTTTTTGTAATATTTAACAAATTATGATAGGTATAATAGCAAACACACATCTGAAAAACATGTAGAAAAAACTAGATGTATGTTGCGTGTAGCACATTTTTTACAAGAATTTAAAAAAAACGACCAATTTGGCGGCCATTTTGAAAAAGTGTATTTATATGAATTTCTTGCGCTTCACAAAGGGCCAAAATTCACCTTATTTGAGACTAGATTGATCACTAAAATTGTCATTGTGTCACCATTTTTAATTGTAGCAGATTCAATTTGGCTGTACAACTTTATAATGTTCAATATGATTAAAATAATATGCAAAAAAGTGGAAAGTTATATATTATTGATATTTTTTTTACATATTAGGGTAACTGAAGCACTTTTGATTTTTGACCCCGAAAAAGGTGAAAAGTTACACAAATAATGATGGGACAAAAAAAAAAAGCACACCGACCCCCCATTTTTGTGGCTGTTTTAGAAAGAGAAACACATTTTCTTTTGATTCATTGAATACTAAAAAAAAGTTTATTACAGGATTTTTTTTATATCAAGCGTTTAATCGGCAAAAAATGGTGAAAAATGTACATTTTTTCATTAAAAAATAAGGGGTAGGGGTTACTAAAATCACATTTCTGAGTAAAATGAATAAGTTTAAGACATTATACTTCCATAGTTTCAAAGAATATAATATTTTTATCAATTCTACAAACATTCATACATATCTGATAATACACTTGGAGGAAGAAACTTTATGAATTTGTTCTGCAAATGGTCAAAACCCAAAAATTCACCAAAAATCACATATTGTGTTCAATTGGTATCTTTGACCGATCATAGCACAAAAACGAACACACCGACATTTTTTTTTTTTTTGCATTTTCTACCATGTCATTATCTCCTTTTTCCAAAAATCAATATAAGATAAAGAGTTGAATACAGGAATTTTTTGACTTCTCAGAGGTGTACATCCTTAAGGAAACATTTACTTTGAAATTTATTTTGTTGATGCAGAAAACAGTGTAAAGTAAACATTTTTACAACAACATATACATAGTCATATAGTCGATATAGAACTCAAAGGCGGTACAAATAAAAAGGTCAAATGAATGGAAATCCATGTCTAAAATGCACCAAGTGATTATTACAAATACAACAAAAGACGAAGAGTGCCTATAAAACGCTTTATGACACTACAAATATACAACTTCTGGCTTAATTGGATATTAAACTTAAACAAGTGTTTCATGTAAACTTTGACAGAAGATATAAATGCATGGTAATGTCTACAAAGAGAACTAATAGTTGTCCGGCAGTCAACCACCTTGTGACGTATCCTAATAACTATAAATACGAGTTAATGAAACACCTGTTTTTAAATTTAGTACGTCGCTACAGAAAACCAAGGCTATCATTCTGACTGTACCAAACAGGAAACCAAGGCTACCATTCTAACTGTACCAAACAGAAAACAAAGGCTGCCATTCTGACTGTAACAGACAGGAAACCAAGGCTATCGTTCTGACTGTACCAAACAGAAACCCAAGGCTGCCATTCNCAAGGCTGCCATTCTGACTGTACCAAACAGAAAACCAAGGCTGCCATTCTGACTGTACCAAACAGAAAACCAAGGCTGCCATTCTGACTGTACCAAACAGAAAACCAAGGCTACCATTCTGACTGTACCAAATAGAAAACCAAGGCTATCGTTCTGACTGTACCAAACAGAAAACCAAGGCTACCATTCTGACTGTACCAAACAGAAAACCAAGGCTGCCATTCTAACTGTTCCATTCTGAAT